GAAAGAAAGAAAATAAATGAGGGAAGAACTCCTGGGAAGGAAAAAGGAAGGAGGGAGCTAAAGAAGACACAGCCCCAAACTGTGATTAAATCCTATTGTAATCCTTGGCTGATCTTGGCACTGTGTGGGCACAGGGGAGGGGGTGAGGTTCCCGGAGGAAAGCAATAGTTTGAAGGCAGAAGGAACCGCATGGTTTCACCTCAGGGGACTGCAGAGGAAACAGAATCTGAACTGTTTGCTAGAACAAAGCCAACCACTCTTCAGAGGAGACAAACAGAAGCCGGAGTTTCTGCAATGTTTCATCAAGAAGATACATGGTGGGGAGGGCAGTAGCGCAGTGGTAGAGAACATGTTCCCAGGTTCAATCCGCAGTCCCTCTATTCATAAAAAATATTAGCAAGACTTTAGATGACAAAAATTCATAGACATGAGAAGAAATGGGGAAATGTGACTTACGTTCAAGAAAAATATGAATCAGTAGAAACAAACCCACAGAAGATCCAGATGTTAGAATCAGCAGACTTTCGAAGGACTTTAAAGCTGTTATTATGCATATGCTCAGGAACTAAAAGAAAGATAAGGTCATATCAAATGAACAGATAGGAAATCTCATCAAAGAAATGGAAACTAAGGGGAGGGCATAGCTTAGTGGTAGAGTGCCTGCCTAGTATGCACAAGGTCCTGGGGATTTAAATAAATAAATGAATAAACAAATAAATAAATAGGAAGCTAATGATATCCCTTGCCTAAAAAATAATTTTTTAAAAATGGAAATTATAAAAAAGAATCAAGACTTCCGGTACTAGCACAGTAGCTTGGTCAGATCTATCCTCTTGCAGATAACAGATTCAGGAAAGGAAGCAAGAGCACCACAAATGGTAAAAATGTGTGTATAAAAGGCTACGTATTTTTTCTCTTTTCTTACTTTTTTCAAAAGATGTAATTGTTTAAATAGAAAATTATAATACTGTATCATCAGGTTCATAATGTAATGTATATGTCATAATGCATATGAAACAACAGCACAGAGGAGGAGGGGGGTGAATGGAACTACACTATTGCAAGGTACTATATTTTTTGAAAATCTTCAATAGAGAAATTACAATGCAATATTACAAAAAAATTCAATTAGCCCAGGAGAAGGTAGGAAAGAATTAACCAAAGAACAAATGAGACAAATGGAAAACAAATAACAAACCAGCAGAATCAAATTCAAATACATCAATAATTACATTAAACATAAATGGACCAAACACTCCAATTAAAAGGCAGAAACTATCAGATCGGATATAAAAGCAAGACCCAACTCTACACTCACGAAGCAAGAACATTTTAAGCGTAAAGACATAGAAGGTTTTGAGTAAAGAGATATAAACAAATGTACGATGACAGACAGTAAACATAAGAATGATGGAGTGGTTACAGTAATATCACAGCAGACTACAAGATACAGATCACTACCAGAGATAAAGAAAGTCACTTCTCGGTAAAAGAGTTGATACGTCACAAAGATATAAACACTAACTGTGCACCTTTAAATGCCTGAAGTGGAAGAGAAGGTAGGCTGAAAAATACTGTTTCCTCCTTAAGAAGCTAGAAAAATACAAGCAAACTGAGCTCAAGTAAGTAGAAGGAAGGAAATAATGAGCAATAGAAATCAGTGAAAAAGAAAACAAACAATAAATCAACGAAGCCAAAAACTGGTTCTTTGAAAATATTGCTAATATTGATAAGTCACTATCAAGACTGATCAAGACAGAAAGAGAGAGAGAAAAAATATAAATTACCAACATAATAAATGAAAGGGATAACACCACAGATCTTACAGGTATCACAGATTGTATTACAGGGTAAGGGAATACTGAAAGCAACTTGACCCCAATAAGTTAACAACTGAGATGAAATTAATAAATCACCCAAAATACACAACTTAACCCAATGACACAGATGAAATAACAAATCTGAACGAGCCCCATATCTGTGTTGAATCTGTTATCAAAAACCACCTCACTAAGAAAACCCTAGAACCAAAGATTTTACTGGTGAATTCGAACAAATATTTAAGGGAAAAATAACACCAATCTTAAAATCTTTCAGAAAATAGAAGAGCAGGGAATACTTCCCAACTCATTTTTGTGGGGGCAGAATGACTCTGATTCTACAACCTGACAAAAACATAATGGAAAAGAAAATTGCCTACAATAGTCCTCTTGAATACAGATGTGAAAATCTCAACGAAATGATAGCCTATAATGGACACTCATTACAGCCAAATGCCAACTGGAATCAGCCCTGGACGCTAACACTGGAGGATGAAAGTTTGATGAAAAGCAAACTTGTGTGGCTGCAAAGTAACCCTCCTGGTTAGCTCCAGAAGGAAAGGAGTGCGGAGACCACGGCTGTCTGTTCAGTCACCAGAGCTGTCACCAACAGCAGGACAAACTGCAGCCTTGGGCCTCCTGATGTGACATGTGAGAACGTGACATCACTTCCATGACATCCCTCCAGAAACGCAGAACATGAATCCAGCCATGAGGAAACATCAACAAACCTAAATTGGGAGACAAACCTGAATTTTCACCGAAGAACTGGCCTGTCCTCTTCCAACATGTTAATGTTATGAAATTCAGAGAAAAAAGCAAGATCTGTTCCAGGTTAAAGGAGGCCAAGGAGATGTGACCGTTCGTTGCCACATGAGATCCTGGACGGATGATGACATTTGACCATGAGCTGTGGATGAGATAGAGGCATCGCATCAATTTCCTGATTGTGATCAATGTATCATGCTTATTTAAGAGAAAATTCCCTTGTATTTAGGAAATAGGCACCGAAGCATGTAAGGGTGAGGGATAAAGGAGCACAGTGTATCTAATTTACTCTCAAACGGTTCAGAAAAATACATACACGTGTATCTGTCATCCGTGTGCACACACATGTGCACGCGTGCAAAGAACAAGAGGTCATTAAACACACAGAGGTACATATAAACCACTGGAGACGCTGGATAAAGAGTGCACAGGAGTTCATTGCCACAACTTTTCTACAACTTGGAAATGAAGACAGAATGAAAAATTACCCCCCCCAAATATTGAAAGAACCCATCCATCACCTCCCCAGCCAAAAAAGGAAAGGAAAGAAGGAAGGACTTCCTATCTCTCAAGCCTGTCCTGCCCACTATCCAGCACTGCCTCTTCTTCAGAGCAGAGTAAGCTCCCAGTTAGCAGCTCACCCAGTATTCTATTTGGAATCTGCAAACAGCAGACAAGAGGGGAAAGAGAACCAGTTGGGGTGAGGGGAGGGGATACCAGCCCCATAACACGAAGAATGGAAAGGCTTGTGTCTTCTGAACTCACACAGATTTCTGATCTGATGCTAGGCAGAGCTGCACAGAGTGACAGCCACGATAAATGAGGATGCGAGGCTTCCGTATCCAGGGCAACGGGCAACTACAGAGTGCCCCGCATCTCCATCGACCCTCTCCATCTGCCACACCCACCTGACCTTATTACTACCCGTATAGAACAAATCC